TCTTTATTGTTACAATCTATAAAAAATTGTAGGGTACAGTTTAAAACTTTACCCCTACAATTTTTTATAGATTTTAATCAATAACGAAATGTTATCTCATCAGTATCAAACAAAAACATAAGTATTTTTAATTGTGTATAGAAATAAAATTTCGTGTAATGGGGGCATGATCCCCCTTAGACAATAGTACGTAAGATCTATTCCAATGGAATTATATTTTGATGAAAACAAAACTTTTCTTTTACTATTATTATAAAAAGGATTTCACATTATTTTAAAAATATTTGCTTGTTGATGTATTCAATTAAAAAATATTAGGATTTGTTGAATTGTTGCAGTTGATACTTCTCGAGAAACAAAACTCAGAGAGGTGGTGATTTGTTGGTGCTGCTGGTGATGGTCTGATAGTGGTCGCTGCTGCGGCTGTTGCAGATTTTCTGTTCTGCAATTCGTCTCTTGCATGGTGATGGCCTGGTCTTCTGCTGCTGCTGCTGCAGCACTGCTACTTGCCCGTTCTTGCTGCTGCTATTATTCTACAAAAGTCATCCAGATAATTAAATAACTTGTAATAAGCGCCTCCATAATTGTTTGTCATCATACAACTGAATATATATAGCTCTTCCAAACACAGCTTTGTTTCAAAACTTTTTTTTTCCATCGTAGTTGTTATATTTTTTTCCTTAACATAATCATTTAAAATGCATGTACAGTATAAATGTTTCATTTAAGAATAATATTTATTTCTTTCCATTTAAAAATATTAAGCTTACTTGTATTTATAATTTTTCAGAAACCAAAATAATGTAAAAGTGATTTTGATAATGAAAAAAATGCAGAATCATAATTTTCAAAATGCTTATAAATCAAATAGAGATGATGTTGAATGGACTCACTAAAGATCCTTTTCTTTGTTTACGTTATCAAACAACGTCATTCGGAAAAGAAAAATGGAAGTGATTTCTCCTCAGAGAATACAACCATTGTTACTTTCCATAATCGTTGTCTTGTTTTCTATAGTTGCATTTTCAGTTTCAGCTGAAAATTCAGCACACAACACTTTTCTTCGTTGCCTTTTAAACCATTCAGACTCCTCTCACCCCATACTTTCAGCAATCTTTACAACAAACAACGACTCATTCTCTTCGGTGTTGCAAGCCCACATAAGAAACCTTCGTTTCAACACCTCCACCACCCGAAAGCCATTCCTTATACTAACTCCATTGCATGTATCCCATATACAAACATCCATTATCTGTGCCAAAAAGCACAAATTGTTGATGAAAATTCGTAGTGGTGGCCATGACTACGAAGGGGCGTCTTACGTGGCTTCACAACCATTCTTCATCCTTGACATGTTCCGACTCCGGTCCATTGAGGTTGACATAGACTCCGAGACCGCTTGGGTTCAGACCGGTGCGACACTTGGGGAACTTTATTATCGAATTGCTAAGAAGAGTAAAACTCACGGCTTCCCAGCTGGGGTTTGTCCCTCTGTTGGAGTGGGAGGTCACATAAGTGGTGGTGGATATGGCAACATGATGAGAAAATATGGTCTAACAGTAGATAATGTTGTTGATGCACAAATGGTTGATGTTGAAGGTAGATTGCTTGATAGAAAATCCATGGGTGAAGATCTCTTTTGGGCCATCACGGGTGGTGGAGGATCTAGCTTTGGCGTCATCATTGCCTACAAAATAAAGCTGGTTCGAGTTCCAGATACAGTCACTGTTTTCAAAGTTACAAAAACCCTCGAGCAAAATGCTACTGATATAGTTTACAAATGGCAGCATGTTGCACCGGCTATCAGTCACGACCTTTTCATTAGACTTATCTTGGACGTTGTAAACAATGCACAAAAAGGAACAAAGACCGGAAGAGCAACTTTCGTAGCTCTATTCCTTGGTGACTCGAAAAGCCTTGTTTCTCTCTTGAATGAGAAGTTCCCTCAATTGGGAGTGAAGCTATCTGACTGTATTGAAACAAGTTGGCTTCGTTCAGTGTTGTTTTTCGCAGACATCAACATTTCAGAGCCTGTTGAGATTTTACTTGACAGACAACCAAAATCACTCATATACTTGAAAAGGAAATCTGATTATGTAAAGAAAGCAATTTCGAAAGCAGGGTTGAAAGGGATTTGGAAGAAGTTGATTGAGTTGGAAAATACAGTAATATTATATTTCAATCCTTATGGTGGAAGAATGTCTGAGATTCCATCAACAGCATCACCTTTCCCTCATCGAGCTGGGAACCTATGGAAGATCCAATACCAAGCAAATTGGAATCAGGCAGGGAAACAATTTGTTGATCATTACATAAACATGGCAAGAATACTTCACAAGTACATGACTAGTTTTGTCTCCAAGAACCCAAGAGGAGCTTTCTTCAATTATAAGGATTTTGACTTAGGAATTAACCACAATGGTAACAACAGCTACACTGAAGGAAGAGTTTACGGAGTGGAGTATTTCAAAAATAACTTCGAGAGGTTAGTTGAAATAAAGACAAAGGTTGATCCTCATAATTTCTTTAGGAACGAACAAAGCATCCCTACCCTGCCTCACATGGCAAGTTAGAATAATAGTTACTCTGAATTGTGTTATACAAATGTTTTGCGAGGAATAATGAGAACTAAGAATGTTTTGTTATAAGTCTCGGATGGATTAATACTTATTAAAGTTCTAAGTAATGTTAATGTGACTCTTTATATTTCTGACAATTACTCAGAATTTCTAAGGATTGCTTCCAAAGCATACAACACAACTAAGCTAAAAGGTAAAGAAATTATCTTCCTTTGATTTTAAATTTTATGTTGTAAAATTTTGTGTCTCATTTATAAAGTGGTATTAGAGTTGTAGATCTTGAATAATAACACAAACAATTCTTTAGTACCGAAGAACAAGATTGATACTAATGTCGAAGCTCTTTTATTTGGAGAAAATTATGACTTGGGCTACGTACGACAATTATCTAAGAAAAACAAAAAGGAGCTCTTCAAGTGTTCTTTCTGTACCTTCAAATTTTTTTTTAATGTCTAAATTATATTTTTATAAGGATAACTTTTTTTCTCTCTTTTATAATTATCTCACCCACCTACCACCTAGTTTTCTTAACTTCAATTTAAAAAATCACGGAATTTCGAAATCTAGTATAAAAATCCATCAAATTAAATTTGATTAAAATTCATCAAATTTTAAAGTTTATCAAATTTTAAAATTTGATTAAAAAATTTGTTGAATTTAAAAATCCGGTTAATAAACTCACTGAATTTTAAAATTCAATTTAAGAAGTCAACTTTCAAAATCAATTAAAAAAATCACTAAATTTTACGAAAATTATCAAATTTTAATATAAAAACACCCCATTTTAAAATTCGGTTAAAAAATTGACTAAATTTTCACATCTAGACGAAGAACTCATTGAATTTCAAATTTAATATTCAATTCTTCCATATTTCGAAATCTTATAAAAACTTCTTCAAGATTTCCAGTTATTAGAGTTTTTTTAAATTCAATTATAATTTTGAAATCCCACATTTTCTTTTTAATTTTTTAATGTTTTTTTAAGGATTTTTACTTGTTTTACTTTAATAAATTGTATTTTAAAATATTAACATATTTTAAATTATATTAAAACATTAACATATTTTAAATTATATTAAAATATTAGAGTAAACTAAATAATATGTAAACAAATTTTAAAATCCGTATATAAATTTTGATATATATTAACATATATTAAATCTGATTTATTACTATCATTATCATTAGTATTATCTTCATCATCTTTATTATCATCATTATTATTATCATTATTATTATTATTATTATCATTATTATTATCATCATTATCATTATTAATATTATGATTATTATCATCATTATTATAATTACTATTATAATTATTATTATCATTGCTATTTTCTTTATTAGTATTATCTTTATTATTATTACTATTATAATTATTATCATTATTACTATTATTATTATTATTACCATTATTACTATTATTATCATTATCATTAATAATTATTATTATTACATTATCAATGACTATTGTTATTATACTCTTTATGGTTATTAATAATAATTATCATTATTATTATTATTATTATGTTTTTTTATTATTTAATATGTGTTAATTAGTATATTTTAATATAATTTAATATGTGTTAATATTTTAATATTTTAAAATATGATTCTTTAAACTAAATCAAGTATATTTTAAAAAATAAAACAAAAAAATAAAAAATAAAATAAATAAAAAATTATGTTTCGGATTTAAAATCAATACCAGATTTCAAAAACAATAAAAGTGAGTATTTGGATTTAGAAATTGAAAGGAAGTGTTAAACGGATTCTGAAACCTAAAAGAATTGAACGTTTGAAATTCGAAAAAAGTGTTAGTCTAATTTCGAAATTTAGTTAATTTCTTAAGTAATTTTCAAAATTTTGTTAGATTTTAACCAAATTTTTAAATTAATTTACTTATGTAAAACAATAAAAATAAATACAAAATTTAAATCCTGAAGGAACAAAAATCCTTATTCTTAGAATATGACTTGGAGTGAAGAAGAAGATGAAGGTGAACAGAGAAAAGGAAAAAAATTGCTTTTGTGATGAAAACTCAAAAACACCACCACAAAGAGATTAGAGAGAAGAAGGATAGAATCTGCTTATCTAATTTTCTTATATATATATATATATATATATATATATTTATATTGAATGATAAAAATGTCAACTTGGAGGTGTGAAGAGAAGCCTCCGAAAAAAACCAAATATACTTTTTTGGGACAAACAATATACAAAGTAGAATGGTCCATAAATATATTGTTTAAGATTTTTTTATGCAATGTTTTTATTTTGTGTGAGTTTGTCCATGATTCATTAATATTGAATTTCAAAGTATTAGCAATTAAATGAATATTCAATAAAGTCTCTGTTTTATATGAAAAATTAAGTTATACAAAACTATTATAAAAATTGAATTGATGTTTGAGAGTCGTCATCAAAATTCAATAAGTCTCTTAGGTATAGGAAGAATTTGAATAATTTTGTATCATTCGAATGTTTACCATTTTGCATAAAAAAACATGAAAAGATTTACAATTTGTTAAAAATGTATAGAAAAGTTTCTAATTTTCCCTAGAAAAATATTGTTCGTGATGTTTGTAATTTTTGTCATAAAATTTGCATGACATGATTTGTAATTTTTTTCTACAAAAATTGTAAAAACTATTATTATTTTAGAAAGATTGTTTGAAATTTTATAGTTTTTGCCAAAAATATATATATTAAATGAGAATATTTTGTTTATTTATAGGATGTGAAACCTATATTATGTTTTATTTTTGCTCTTATTCATAGGTGTGTTTTCACTAAAAAAATTATTGTTTTATTAAATGATTGTAAATACAATGAAGAAGTATTATTACAATTGGTGTACGTAAATGTATATGATCCAAGAAATACCCTTTTAAGTGTTGAGTAGTTTATTTTATTTACTCATTATTTAGGTAATTTATCTTATTTATTGATGATTTGACTTGCACAATATGGGTTTATTTTATTGATAAAGTTCATATTGTTTGAGAAAGGAATGTATAATAAGTGTTTATCATAAATGGTTGTAAAAAAAGTAATTTGAGTGACACTTTTGGAAAGATTGAATGATATTAAAGATATAATTATTCTAAGGTGAGACAAAAGAAAGAAAAAAGATGAGTTCGTATTTTGTGATAGACTCTTGATGCCTTTAAAATACACTCACTTATTTAATATTATAATATTAAAAGAGAAAATTAAATTTAAAAAAAAAAACTATGAAAGATTATTGAAGTAAGATAAATTATAACAATATATATTAAGAAAAAATATTAAATAATATATTACTGTAAATGTTTAATAAAAATTAAATATTTATTAAGGGCCTTTGAAGAATATTTAATAATATTAATATAACTTTTTATAATAGCTGTTAGCTATCATATAGCTAAATGATATTTCTAAATAAAATGTTGGGAAAGAATTAAATAGCGGTAAAGAAATGCTGTAAATGGTTGAATTTATAAAAAAAAATGCAAATAAAGCTATAAGAAAGTAAACGAATGATTAAAAATATAATTCATGTTATGAAAGATTGAAAAATATTATCTATGTTGTTTCAATATCAACTTTACTAGTGTTGACCAAACCAATACAAGATGGAGGTATAGGCACAATAAATACCTAATATTTGAATTAGCTTCTACTTTAGTTAACTCTATTTAACGTCTCTTTAATGTATATACGAACAGTCCATTGTATACAAACTTTTATGTGGGTGATCCTTAATTTTCATAAAACTTGGTAAACTTAAAATTAACAAAACTACATTAAATAAATTTATTTTAAATTTTAAAATCTTATCATAATATATTGATCTATATCTTTATAATAGTAGAAACTTTTTCTTAGTCACAATTTTATAGTTTAACCCCTACACTTCACTAGCCGATAATCAATGGTACTTAAGATATAATTACACGAGAATATAAATGATTCCGTTTCCTAGAAATTTAGAGTAATATGCATATTTTAAAACTAACAAAACAATTCCTTGAAAGTAAAATGCATGTTTCCTGTCTTAGCATGTTCTCCTTAAAATAACCATTATTAATTACCGATTTCGTGTCAAACTGATTACAAAGTCAATTTTATGCATAACTAATTTAAAAATATATTATAATAATTAGAGCTATCAAAACCGACTATCCGGCTCGATCCGGTCCAGTCCATCACGGGTTGATCACTTAGTGAACCAACTCAACCCGGTTCATTTATTAGCGAGTCAGAAAAATTCGAACACAATTCGACCCACCACGGTGGGTAAACGGGTTGACTCACTAACTCACTTAATTAAAATTTTTTTAAATTAAAAAAATTATAAACTTTCTATAATTCAAATCTAAATAAGTTTCACTCTCAAATTTCACTCTTAACATGGGGTATTTAATTAATTTTAAAAATACAAAACTTAAATAATTTTTTTAAGCAAAAAAAAATAATAGATATTTTTTTATAAAATTAAAATTAAATTCTAATAAAATAAAATTAGATAGGTGGGTTGGTGGGCCAACCTGACCCACCACGAGTTCAACCCACATGAACCGGGTTCAATGAGCATAGTTGAAATCTGATCCGCATAAAAAAAATACAATATTTGCTCACGGATTGTGATCCATGTTTTGACCGCTCTAACAATAATGATGAAAATTAGAAATTATGAATTTGCTCACCATAAAAATTATTTTGAATTTGACACTGTACAATAAATAGCTTAATTTATTGCATTTAATTAGATTGTAACAGATTTATTATGGTTTGGTAAATTTTTCTTTAACTTTAACAACAAATCGGAATGATATGGACCAAGTAGTTGAAGTAACGAGTTTGTCTTATTAGTTATGGAATAAGTTAAATTTGATCTTAACTATCCTTTAGATCATGTAATAACTTCTTATAATCATAAGTTATTCATGTATGGATTTCTATAAATATTTCTTCAACATATTGTACAAATTTGACATCTCACTCACTTCTTGATCATTAAAATAAGAAATATTTCTAATATTAATTGTAGCTTTAACATGACACCACTTAGTTCCAACCACATTCATTAATGAAAACAAGGATCACAAACCATATTTTTAATATATGTATTTCATTATATGAGTTTCCTTTAACTTAGAAATAAAAGTAGTCAAACCTTCCATTTTTTACAAAACTAAGTATAGTTTAAGAAAAAGCATCTCAATTAATTGTAAGATTTTTTTGAAGTTGACTTTTAAAATCAAACAATCCCTTTTCCTTTCCTTGCAACACATTAATTACACAAACTCATCTAAAGTTTTCCTTTTAGAAAGTAAGGCAAATGGTCAAGAAGAGATAACTAAGATCAACATTTTAGTTATTACTTTATAAATACTTTTGATAAAAAGAGACCAAACTATGCATAGAGAGGAGTGATGGTGGCCTTTTTTAACATCAAAGTCAAAAAAAAAAGGAAGAAAAACTTTTAGGCAACTTTAATCTCTTAATTTATCAAACCCAAATTTAAAGCCATTTAGACTAGGAATTTTTTTTTGACGTGTTTCTCCCTTTCCAGCCATCTTCATCTTCTATTATTTCCTCTATATCCACAACTAATGAATAAACAATCTTATAAAAAAATAAAAAATAAGAAAACTCCAAAAGCGAAGCCCACATTGTGGTATTTTTGTTTAGCTTGGAAGAGATATTTTTTTCTCAAATATTTATTGAATCTATATGTTTCTTTATCTACTTTTACCTTTCTTTTATTCTTAGAATAAAAATTTGTTGTAATATCCTTTCATAAATTAAAAAATATTAATATATTACACAAAGTGATTTTTAATATATACATTAGAAAGTGGTTTTTAAGTCCAACCTGACAAAACTGACTTGTGTAGTGAGGTTTGCATCCACTTATATATTATAAATTAGTTTTATCTCTAGATGTGAGACTTCCAACATAATAAATAAATAACTATTATTTTTAAACATTTTATCAATATTTATTATTTTCGTTTTTTAATTAATTAATTTTCTAAATTACAAATCTGAACTTGTTTTTAAAAAAATTACTTAGAGATCAAGTCATACCAAACAAACACGATTTTGTTACGAAAAAATCATCATAATATTGAACAACTTTTTATCCGTGTAAGTAAAGTCGTATAACTATTGAATGACTTATGTGTCAATGAAGTTGTGAATAATAATGGACAAACACAACTTCAATTTGAGTTAATTACGTTGAACCAAACTTAATCAAAGTAGTGAAAACTAAAAGAAATTATGCTTAAGCTAAAGTTGTGAAAGCATGACATGATTTCTTAGTAAATTTAAAAATAATGAAGTTTTTTACTTTCTCAAAAATTTTGATATATATCTTTTACTTTAAATTAATGTTTAATCATTTAATTAATTAGTTTTCAGCTTCATCACCAAATTTTAAATAACCCCCTACAGCCATAGATTCTTTATTTTGAAATATTTGTTAATGAATTAAAAACAATGTTTTTTATTTCCTTTATCTTTAAATTTTGTTGTTTTTTTAAATTTTATATAACAATATTTTGTATTTTAAATTTTTTAGATAATTCTATTTTTGAAATTATATTTAAAAAATTTACTTTTAAAAAATAAATATATTTACTTTTAATTTTATTTTGTTAATGAAATCATTAAAAAAAGTACTATTATATAATTTTAATAATATAAATTTTAATTTCAGATTTTTTAATAATTTGATGAATAATTTTATATTTTATTAGAATTAGAGTCCAATGCATAATTATTTTAAAATCAAATCCAAATCCGTAATTTCGAAACTAAATTTATTAAAAAAAAAATTCCCTTCTAATTTCATCACAACACTTGCAAAAAAAGTTTATTCTCTCTCTCTCTCAGTGTTTTGAGTTCTATTTAATGTTTTGAAAGTTAATACTTCCCTAAATACAAAGTCAAAATAAACCACTACCATATGTTTGACATTTCTTCTTGGATACTTATAAAATCTCATAGATGATGCCAAATATACTCACTACAAATCTTCTCTTATTTGTTCTCCATTGTTAAAATAACTATAAATGGAAGTCCTTTCTCTTCATAGAATACAATTATCAATATTTCCCACTTTTGTGTTTCTTTCTCTTGTATGGTCATCTTCCTACGCAAACTCAGTACATAACACTTTTCTTGATTGCCTTGTAAACCAATCAGAGTGTTCTCATCCCATAGCCTCAGCAATTTTTACACCAAACAACACCTCATTCTCTTCAGTGTTGCAAGCATACATCAGAAATCTTTGTTTCAACACCTCCACAACCCGAAAGCCATTCCTTATAGTCACCCCATTTCATGTTTCCCAAGTGCAAAGAGTCGTTCGTTGTGCCAAAAAACACAACTTGCTCATAAAAATCCGTAGTGGTGGCCATGACTATGAAGGGTTGTCTTATGTGGCTTCACAGCCATTCTTCATCCTTGACATGTTTCATCTCCGATCCATTAAGGTTGAGAATGAGACTGAGACTGCTTGGGTCGAAGCTGGTGCAACGCTTGGTGAAGTTTACCATAAAATTGGTGAGAAGAGCAAAATTCATGGTTTTCCAGCAGGGGTTTGTCCCACTGTTGGGGTGGGAGGCCACATAAGTGGTGGTGGCTATGGTAATATGATGAGAAAATACGGTCTCTCAGTGGATAATGTTGTTGATGCACAAATGGTTGATGTTGAAGGTAGATTGCTTGATAGAAAATCTATGGGTGAAGATCTCTTTTGGGCCATCACAGGAGGTGGGGGAGCTAGCTTTGGTGTAGTCCTTGCCTATAAAATAAAGCTAGTTCGTGTTCCTGAAACAGTCAGTGTTTTCAGAGTTCGGAGAACCTTGGAGCAAAATGCCACTGATATAGTTTATAACTGGCAGCATGTTGCGCCAACTATCGACAACGATCTTTTCCTGAGACTTACCTTGAATGTTGTAAACAGTACACAAAATGGAACAAAGACTATAAGAGCGACATTCGTAGCTTTATTTCTTGGTGACTCCAACAGCCTTGTTTCTCTCTTGAATGAGAAGTTCCCTCAATTGGGTTTGAAGCAATCTGACTGCATCGAAACAAGTTGGCTTCGTTCGGTGTTGTTTTGGACAAACATTGACATTATAACACCTGTTGAGGTTTTGCTTGATAGACAACCACGATCACCTGTAAACTACTTGAAAAGAAAATCTGACTATGTGCAGAAACCAATTTCTAAAGAGGGTTTTGAAGGGATTTGGAAGAAGATGATTGAGTTGGAGAATGTAGCATTTCAATTCAATCCTTATGGTGGAAAAATGGCTGAAATTCCATCGACAGCAACTCCTTTCCCTCATCGAGCAGGGAACCTATGGAAGGTTCAATACCAAACAAATTGGAATCAGGCAGGGAAAGAGGTAAGAGATCATTTCATAAACTTGACAAGAATACTTCACAAGTACATGACTCCTTTTGTTTCCAAAAATCCAAGAGGGGCTTTCTTCAATTATAGGGACATTGATTTAGGAATTAACCACAATGGTGAGAACAACTATGCAGAAGGAAAAGTTTATGGAGTAGAGTATTTCAAGGATAACTTCGAGAGGTTGGTTCAAATAAAGACAAAGATTGATCCTCATAACTTCTTTAGGAACGAACAGAGCATCCCTGTACTGCCAAATCCTATCGAAAAATAATTAAGACTTAGCTTAAGGCTTATCATGGATGATTAAGTTTGTAACCCAAATTAATGAGAAATTACTATAAATATTATAGTTATTAAATCACATTAATGAATAATTTATCATATATATATTTAACAATATCATTAATTTACTCACAAATTTTCTTCTTGGATATTTGCTTAGCTTTTTTTCCTTTCTTATATGGAAATGAATTTTAGATTATGTAATATGAAAATTGAAGATATATTTTAAATTGTATAATTTTAAATACATGTTTAAATTTTAATTGTACAAATTATACTGGATTTTAAAATTACACAGTTTAAAATACATTTTTGAATTTCATAATCTATAATATATGTTTCAATTATGAAAAATATATTTCATGATCTAAAAATATATTTTAAACTATATAATTCAAAATATATTTTTAAATCATATAATCTAAAAAAAAATTGGAATATTAGATTATAAACTACAAAATGTATTCTGAGATTTGTGATTATCTCTCATAATTTAGCGGTTTTTGTTTCATAGTTTAATTGTCTTTATTGTTAACGTTATAGGTGGGATAGTGCCTTTCAACACATTTATTTAAGCCTACCTCCACAAAATGTATTCTGATATTTGTGATTATCTAGTTGATCTTTGTTTCATGATTTAATTTGTCTGTATTTGTTTTCATTATTATAAAATCACTAATGTTTCAACAACAATGTTTTTAATATTTTTAATTAAGGATGATAAGACGAGTCATCCGCGCAAAAAGATTGTAATATAAGATAAATAAGAAGGTTAATCTTTTTAAATATACAACATGATTTCGATAATGCAATGTGATTATATTCTAGTGTCGATCTTAATGATTGGATAGTAGGTTCATTAAAAGAAGGTGTATGTATAAGTTATTGTTCATTTATGTTTATTTAAAATAATTATTCATTTGTATTTATTTTTTTCTCTATGTAAAAGTAATTTGGTCATTTGTGTTCGGTTCATTTAAGAATAATGTCCAGTTTATCTAAGAATAAATTTCTTATTAAGTTTCCTCTATTGTTTTAGTCCACCTCAAAATCATTTTTACTTTCAATATACTTATACTTAAAAATTATAAATTATAAATATTATTTATTTTAAGAAATAAATTTATAAAATTTATTACAATTTAATTAAATAAAAATAAAATTATTAAAGTTTTTATGTGAATCTTGGACTAGTATGCAAACTCACAAACAAATATTATGTGAGACGAATTAACTCCGTTTTCTTTTTGACCAAATACAGGTGGATCAAAACAAGATGAACAAACCTGTATTTTCATCCATATTTTTAATCCAAAGTAACAACCCGTTATTTAGAAGAATATATGATTTTATGTAAAAAAGAATTATTTTTATGAAAAAAACCTTGTTTCGAATTTTTATCAGTTATATAAAAAAGTACAAGCGGTGTAATAAGATAGAAACAAACAAAAATTTATTAAATAATGATACATATTTATATTTATTTGATACACATTATAAAAGTAAAATGATTATAAAAAATAAATTTTTATATTTTTAAAATAAAGTAAAAAATATGAAATAAATATAAAAAATTATGTGTTATATAATTTTTCATGTGTTTGTGATGCAAAGGGTGTGACGTGTGTTCTAACCACAACACAAGTTTTTTTACATCAACGCCTCAATGTTGCGTGATGCATTACATAATGACAATGAAGTGTTTACTTTTGGTAGGTTCCACGTGATGTGGAAACAACAAACCTGGAGCCACATGTAGTTGGCACTTGTACTATAATGTACCAGAAACTCATCCTAGTCAATTCATCTATGGTTTAATAGCCAATTTAGTCCCCACTTTGGTTGAAAAATCTCAATTTAGTCCCTCGTTATAAAAGTGTTTTACATTAGTCCTAACTTTTAAAATAGTGGATCAGATTGGTCCCTTTCGTTAAATATAAGTTAACGAAATTAATGGATGATGATGTGACACAGCTTAAAGCTGATGTGTTAGATTGGTCCCTCGTTAGCTTTAAGTTGTGTCACATCATCATCCATTAATTTTGTTAACTTATATTTAAGAGAAAGGACCAATCTGACATTTTAAAAGTTAGGACTAATTCAAAACACTTTTATAACGAGGGACTAAATTGAGATTTTTCAACCAAAGTGAGGACTAAATTGGCTATTAAACCTTCATCTATAGTCTTGCAAAAGAATATATATTCTCCATTTTATACTTTTATCTTTCTTTTCTTTAGCAAAATTCTACTAAATTTTTAAATTTTAAGGATAGTTTTTATACCAATAATTAAATCAAGCAATGCATGTGTACAATAAAGTTTATATATACCTTTTCTTACACATCTTTATGTAAATAATTTACTTGAAAATTTGTTCTCTACTCTTTGCTTGGCCTGATGTTTTTAGTTATTAGATATTTTTCCATTTAATTTTGTACACCCGTTTTTTTAATTTCCTTTACTTATTTTTCTTGCTCAATTGCAAAATGTGTCTCTGATTTCTCTTTTAAATTTTTATTTCTCCACATAGTTCTCAACCCCTACAATGGAACTGCTTTCTTCTAGAACACTACTTCCAATTGTTCTGTGGCTTTCTCTTCTTTGTTCATATTTTGCTCCAAATTCAGCTGACAACACTTTTGTTCACTGTCTTGTGAATCAATCTGAGTCATCTCTTCCCATATCTGCAGCAATTTTCTCACAAAACAGTTCTTCATTCTCTTCAGTTTTGCAAGCTTACATCAGAAACCTTCGTTTCAACACCTCCACAACCCCTAAGCCATTTCTCATTGTCACCCCATTTGATGTTTCCCATGTCAAAGCAGCAGTTGTTTGTGCAAAAAAACACAACTTGTTGATGAAAATTCGCAGTGGTGGCCATGACTATGAAGGGGTGTCGTACGTGTCTTCACAGCCATTCTTCCTCCTTGACATGTTCAATCTCCGATCTATCGACATTGACATCGAATCCGAGAGTGCCTGGGTCCAAGCTGGTGCAACGCTTGGGGAAGTTTATTATAGAATTGCTGAGAAGAGTAAAACTCATGGTTTCCCAGCAGGGGTTTGTCCCACTGTTGGGGTGGGTGGTCATATTAGCGGTGGTGGTTACGGCAATCTCATGAGAAAATATGGCACTGCAGTGGACAATGTTGTTGACGCACAAATAGTGGATGCTCAAGGTAGATTCCTTGATAGAAGAACCATGGGTGAAGATCTCTTCTGGGCTGTTAAAGGTGGTGGAGGAGGTAGCTTTGGTGTGATACTTGCCTACAAAATAAAACTAGTTCGAATTCCTGAGAAGGTAACTGTTTTCAAAGTAGACAAAACCTTGGAGCAAAATGCCACCAACATAGTTTACAATTGGCAGCATGCTGCCCCTAGCATTGACAATAACCTTTTCATTAGGCTCATCTTGGAGGTGGTAAACTGTGCAGAAGTTGGAACAAAGACTGTGAGGGCTACCTTCATAGCCCTCTTTCTGGGTGACTCCAAAAACCTTGTTTCTGTCATGAAGGACAAGTTTCCTCAACTGGGTTTGAAGCAATCAGATTGCATTGAAACAAGCTGGCTTCAATCTGTGATGTTTTGGGACAACATAGACATTGCAACCCCAGTTGAGATTTTGCTTGAGAGACAACCTCAGTCTTTGAAGTACTTGAAAAGGAAATCTGACTATGTGAAGAAGCCAATTTCCAAGGAGGGTTGGGAGGGGATTTGGAAAAAGATGATTGAGTTGGAAAAATCAGTGATGTTTTTCAATCCTTATGGTGGAAGAATGGCTGAGATTCCATCAACAGAAACTCCTCTCCCTCACCGAGCTGGGAACCTATGGAAGATCCAATACCAAGCAAATTGGTTTGAGGCAGGGGAAGAGGTAGCACATCACCACATAAACCTGCTAAGAGAACTTTACAAATACATGACACCCTTTGTCTCCCAAAACCCAAGACAGGCTTTCATGTGTTACAAGGACTTGGATTTGGGCATCAACCACCACGGTTTTCTTGGCTACCTTAAAGGAAGAGCTTATGGAGTTCAATATTTCCAGGATAACTTCAAAAGATTGGTTGAAATAAAGAGCAAGGTTGATCCTACCAATTTCTTCAGGACTGAACAAAGCATTCCGGTACTTAGCCATTTGGAGTTCAGAAAATTTATTACTGCAAAATCTATACTTTCGGTTTTGTTCGGCTTGTTTGCAATACATTGGATTCGGAACCTCAAGTAACACATGCACCAGATTTCACTTGTAATTGTTTACTTTATGTATATTTTTTATCTTCCCGACAATATCGTGGTATCAGTGAAGAACTTGAACGGATTTCGATCTTGAAAAACTTGGTATTGGAAGTAATACTAAGAAGCATTGCTCATATTTTAGTTAGAAAAGACGGTGAAGCCTCTGCTATGTTTATGAGGAGTATGGTGAGTCAGACTATACTTCATTACGTTGAAAATGACATTGTTGATCATGTTTTTTTTACCATGAATAAAGTCTATTGTTAGCTAGCTGTTATTATAAATTTAAGGTTGTGTAAAATTGACATCTTCACAATTTTCTTGCTTATGCTCTAAAATTATCTTATTTCTACCTTTAATAGCCTTAACAAAAGACTCAACCAACATACTTTGAAACTCAATTCCTTAACTAAATTCTTCTGCCCAGTTTATTATTCGTGTTCAAAATTGATGTGCTTTGAGTAAAGGAGTTGAATTACAATTACGAATACTTTGATTTTGTTTATGAATCTCGATAAATATATTAGGAATATATTTAAACTATTAAATTCACTTTAAAAAAAACAGCCAAAAAAATAAAGTGACAAAAACAACTCACACATGTTGATTAGACTGATGAGAAAAAAAGGAACGAAAGGACACTATTACTCTGATATTTCAGTGGTACCCAGTGGATGCAAGTCCTGTCACTATTGCGGGTGCAGACACAATAATTTCAGGATCCTATCAATAATTCAGCAGTTTGAAA